TGCACTGTTATAATAAGGTCTATTTAACTTTGTTATAAGTCAATTTGATGGTGTTTATAAAGGATATTGGATTGGATACCTACTGGAATCTTTTTTATAAGTGCGTGAGTATATTTATAGAAACGCGCTAGAAGTGTAAGGAAGAAAATCCGAAAATGTGGCAGTGTATTGACCCAACACTAACCTTACTAAAATGTCGATGTTTGTGTCCCCTCACTATTCATTCTGACACTTGACTTTGTAACGAAAGCACGTCATTCGCGCCTAATGATTCTAACCAATACTGTCTAAAAGAAGGAAGCGTGAATAAGGAGATTTTAGTATATTTTATCGATTCGAATGTTCAACGTTTTCTTACGACTTTTAACAGTACACATAAAGACAGATAAACTTATTTAACGTGGTAGGCAAAAGTGTAAGTAAAGTTGACTTAGATTCAATATTAAAAAAATTACTACTACGAACTGTAGCCATCTTGTCGTTGTTACGTGTAATGCCAAAGTAGGTTTGACATATTTTGTAATAGAACTAGGCTTGCGAAATGGTCAATTTATTATCTTATATTAACTCATCTACTTTCAAGAAGCGAGCGTACACCATCTCAAAGGCCGGCAACGCATCTGCTGTTACTCTGGTATTGCTGATGTCCATGGGCGTCGTTGGACACATCGGTGTTCCCGCTGCTCGTTTGCCCCATTCTGATATTAAAAATAAATCTACAAAACACTTATTACAAGATCTCAAGCTGTCGGATTCAATCAAGTGACAATAGTTTCATAGGCGTCGCAATGACCACAGTGCAAAATGTTAGTGGCTCCTTCACCCCCCAACTATTGGAGGTTTTGGATTGTATTACAGAGAACTTGATCGTGTCGGATGCTGCTCGTAAAACTTTACGAACTGCCGCCCTCTCCTGCCTATCTGTGACAATCATCTTACAACATAGTGTAATGTACTGACAGAGAGTATGGTGATAATATTTAAATAATTGTGAATATTTTTGTAATAAATTCAAGTTTTTTTTAAAAAGAAATTTTATGTTAATCTGTGGAGGCAATGGTTTAATTTATTATTACAATTTCAGTTCTTCATTTTTAAAATACAGATTACGAAATTGAACAGCACATTAGTTACATTTTCAGAAGATTGATATGTAAAATTTTTAAATACTAATCAATATCACTTACCGTTTAAATAAAAAATTGATTGTAAAAATCACTAGGGAGTTATAGGCTTTCCTTGGTAGTAGGTAATGTGAGGAACAAAATCCGATATTATGCCGGTTACTGGTGCAACACTAGCCTTACTAAAATGTCGACGTTTATGTCCCCTTACTAATCATTCTGACACTTGACTTTGTAACGAAAACGTGCTATTCGCGCTAAAGAAACTATTAAATTTTATTGAACTTATCGGAATTCATTTATTTAATTGTGAACACTCTGACTTTTCCTTACTCTGTGTAACAATAGCTGAGATTTCAATAAACGACATCGAGTCCTGATTGCGCCGATAGAGAGCGCTCTACATGTCGCAGTTAAGTGACAGACAGACGCCGTCACCTAACTTTATGTCCCAATCTACTTCTGTATTCCATAATATGTTATACATTACTAAAGAAAATGTCATACTTATGAAAATTGTCTCATCTCGGACATCAATTCTTTGTCCTTTTTCACTGTGACGTTGGCACGACAGTTTTCGTCGTCTAAATCAATCTATCATTGCTGACTTTTTAACCACCCGTAGAACCAACTGATGGGTAGGCAGAGATTATGCTTCTATTTGGAGTAGTCCCAGCACATCTGAAGAAAAAGAAAAGACAAAACATTTATTGCCAAATATCTGAAAAAACACTAACCTACAACAAAAATAAATGGTGTGGCAAAAGCCAGCTTAGCAAAGCATGGATGGACTTACCTGCGATTGTTTTCACCTGGTTCCTTTGCAATAGAGATGCGCCTGTCACCGCATATTGGTAGCAATTTCAGATGATGATCTTAAAAAAAATTGTGCTTAAAAAAACAGAAAGCAGGTACTTACTCTCTGTTTTTTATACCTACAATATTTATGAGCACCTTGAATGTACTCATACATTTGACGCTGTGTATGTACCGATGTATTTGAGCAGGGTGAATGTATCTATTAATTTGAGGACTTTTGTTGTACTTATATAATTGATTACTTTTGGTGTACCTATATATTTGCATATCTTGTCTGCTACGGTATTTATGACGCTGACTGTTCTAAGTAATATTATACGATTAAAGCAGCCGCATTTTAATTACTTATAATTTAATTAAAATGACATTACTTTGCTTAGTTCATATTAAAATGAATGTTGCCAAAGTTTGGAAATAAAAATAAAAGGGTTGCTCCGTGTTCCTTTCGCGGCACTCTTTATGAATATTCATAGTTAATGAGGCTTCAACATTGAAAACTCGAGGTTGTACCATCGCTAACAGCTCGTGAAAGGGTAAGATTAATTACTGACATTTGTTTAAAATATAACTCAGTGTTCTTTAAAAATTGTCAATTTTAAAAAATGAAAGTAAAAAAAATTGCGTCTTGGAAAAGAAAAAAAATAATTGTCTCTTAAACTATAAAATATCGGTTGTAAAATTAACTGTTCCATGAATTCCATTAAAATATGTTTTGTCTATAATATTTAATAAAAATTATACATTACTAACTGACTTTTTATATAGCTATATAAAAAAAAAAAAATTAATAGCCTCTGTGTTTTTTTGCAGACTGTTCTACATCTATGCCAAATTTCATCAAGATCCGTTGAACCGTTCCGGAGGTACCTTCAAACAAACATTCATCCATCCACCTAAACATTCATCCACCCACCTAAACATTCGTATTTATAATCATCATCATCATCAGCTCAATATCCAATATAGAGGGGCTCGGAGCCTACCCAAAGCTAGGGGTGACTAGGCCATAGTCAACCATGCTGGCCAAGTGCGGGTTAGTTGACTACACACGTATCTTCTCAGAATTTATAATATTAGTAAGAAATGATATTCTAGTTACATCTTTTGGACTTAACGCTTCCTTTATTGCTATAAAATAATATTTTTCGCATTTATTACATCTTTCCTGAAACGCTAATAAAGTCTCGATTCAGAATTTATATTAAAATTCAAAGGGATGCTTTGAATGAAGATTTTCATAGGATGCATTAAAATCTGTTTCCATCGCTCCATTGTTTGGATGTGGTCCAAGAAATAAGAAATATTAGATTCAATTTATACCTAAAATTGTATGAAATTAATTTATGTTTAGTACTTGAAATATAAATTAATAAAAAAAAAGAAAGTCGCGTTAGTTACACTATTTATAACTGAATAACGGCTTTACCGATATGGCTGAAAATTAATGAGGTGGTAGCTGAGAGCCAGGAAACGGACATAGCATACTTTTTATTCATTTTTTTATTTTTTTTCGAATCTATGCCTTGAAGAGCTGCTTTTTATTTAACTTATCTATTTTATTTCATAGGTCTACGCGGACGGAGTCGCGGTCGACAGCTATAAGTATTGTTTGCGTGACTGAATTATAGGTATTTTTTTTATTATAGAATAGGCTTCAAAGTGGATCAGTCTGTAAACGTTCAGACTACTTATTCCAACATTCGCAATTTGCTTCAAATTCTTTGGGCAAATTTGATTTAAATATCAATAATGGTACAATATCTAATTCTAAGCGATAATTGATTAAATTTTTATTCTTTAATTTATCTTCCAATGAAATGAATCGCTTCTCGCTTGTGTCTTGTGGCACTGCTCTTGTCCGCTGGGACGGCAATAACAAGTCCATAAACCGTTTTTACTGCCTTTGTTCAACTAAATGTATGAAGGTTTCGACTTTTTAAACAATGACCGTATTTTCTTTAAGAAAGACGGATATTCGTGAAGTCATCGAGTACATTTGTTCGTCGAGATTAATGAAAATGGGAAATATTTTAAAGTGAATGTGGTTTTAGTATGTACGACTTTTTTCATTGTTCTGAACCTTAAAAAAAGTGTTTAATTTCGGAAATGACCGTATTATAACGTACTTAAAATAAAGTCTTAGATTTTTTTTTAAAAAGTTTAAAAACAATTATTATGATATCAAGAATTAAATCCTCGGACAAAAATTAGAACCAAATTATGATTTATTATCATTTTAATACATACATACCTCATATTGTTAGGAAGAAAATCCGGCAGTATGCCGGTGTACTGGCACAACACTAGCCTTACTAAAATATCGACGTTTATGTCCCCTCACTAATCATTCTGACACTTGACTTTGTAACGAAAGCACGCGATTGGCGCCAAAGGATTAAAATTGATAATGTCTAAAAATATCAAAACGACGGGAAGATATTTTTTAGCTCAAATACTTCTTAACTAGGTATGTCTTGTATAAGTATAAAAACATATAATTGTAACTAATTGAATCAATAAAACTATAGTCAATTTCAAGCTTAAACTATCATGAACCGTCGCGTCGCCGCTGTACAATTGCGCCAGCCATTATCTGGGTCGTTGCATGTTCGCACAGGGACATTATCCTATTTACCAAACTACATCCTTCTATCACACCCAATAAGCCTGTCGCTACTACACGAGAGCTAATGAAACTACTAGATAGGACAGAAAAATAAAAACGTAAGAAAACTATTCAAAAATATTGTCATATGTTATAAAATATAAAGATGGAGTTTGTCTATGGAAATAAAAAAAATAATTCAAGACACCAATTTCTTGATTTTAATTCAATGATGCTTTTTCTTTCAATTCAATGGAGACAATTTAAATATTTAAGAGAAACCTAAGTCTAATTAACTACACAGATTTATAAAAAGCTTAGTAAAGTATTCTATATGTACTCATTAATTGGTCGTTCAACAGTTTTAAAAATAAAAAAACATATCGTGGACATGTCTAAATCTTCCTAAGTCTCGTGCAAAAAGATTTATGCCCGAGCATTACCCACTAATATCTCACTCGGTGCGGTGAGCTAAACGTGCGTTCTCACAACCAGCTATCATGGAACTCCTTTACCCCTTGTTATACTTGATTCTTCTATCAAGGACAGAGGCCAAGGGTATTAGCTGGTCTTGCGATGATTATCAAGCGAATTTCACCGTCAAAGAAGTGGTTGGTACTTGGCATGTCGTCGCCATAATTCCAGAGAAATTATTCCCCGATAACCAGAATAAACTCACATGCTATAAAGTGGAATTCAGCGAAACAGACGCGGTAAGTTATTAATAATTATTATTTTGAAATTGTCTAGAAGGAACTAACGAATCCGGCTTACCTGATATAAATCTTGCAAACAGACATACAGACAGACAAAAAAAACATTTATTCATTTTTGCAATAATTCTTTAAGCATCTTTGTTATATTTCAGTTTTTTACAAGTTTAGATTTACGTTAGGTAAATGTATTCATTGTTTTCTTTTTTTTGTTTTTTTTTATTATATGTTGGGTTAAAAGGTTATCTTATATATAAAATTCTCGTGACACAATTTTCGTTCCCATACTCCTCCGAAACGGCTTGACCGGTCCTTATGAAATTTTGTGAGCATATTGAGTCTGAGAATCGGCCAACATCTATTTTTTAATCCCGCGCAGACTGAGTCGCGGGCGACAGGTAGTGTACATATATTATTGTCAACATACTTTTAAAAAACGCAAATACTTACATACGGACACTCCATTTTTTTTATATGTCATTGTGTTATAACTATGGAAACAATTATTTTCATAGCATAGCTTGAAACAGCAACCATTTCAATGAGATATTTATATTCATTGCATTACAGGCTGGTCTACAATGGCTTGTGAATAACACAGTAGGAAGCAAACACAAAGTAGATAGGTTAACTAACTCTGAAGGTACCATTATAAGGCAACGTTACCATTCCGAACGGCCCTTCGATGTCTGGTCCAAGTCCGTTGAAGATGTGAATGGATGTTTCAAACAAGTTTTATCATTGGATACAGATAAAACTGAACTTAGTAAGTATAAATCGTTTCTTCTTCTTCTAATGCCTTTCCAGTACTGGAGGTTGGCCGTCAGCTCAGCGAACCCATTCCTGTCCTGTGCCAAGCGAAAAAGTTGTTCAACGCTGGTAATAATTCGTTTATTTTTTTATGGTAAGCATTAAACAAAAATAAGGGTATGATGATTCAAGGAATAAAAAAGAAAGAAATAATTTTTTAAGGTTATAAATGAGACCAAAAACAATAACCTTATACTAACTTAAAATGACACATAATTTAATGATTAAACTTGATGTTAGGATACAATTGATCTGGGTGACCTGGTGATGTCCACAATAGGCATTGCCTACTATTGGTAAATATAGGAACTGATAATACGGTGGTCCTCTACATCTATGTATGTATCTAAGGATGTCAATGGGCGGCTACTCTTGATCTTTTGCCATGTTTTATATAAAAATGGCAATAATTACTTACTCCGCTGGCGCAGCGACCCAAAGTGGGTCTCGGCCTCCGACACAGGAGATCGCCAAAGTCGCCTGTCTTGGGCCCTCTCCTGCCAGGCCATCGCTTGTAGGTCCTACAAGTCCAGCTACGGCAATAGTTAGGAAGAGTCATATTTGAAATTGAGTAATTTTTACGTAACTTATATTTTAATGTATTTTTCCAGGCAAGGCCATAACACACGATGATATGATGCAACTGCATCTGCTAGAGACAAACGACCAGGCAGGGCCTTTCCTTCTGCAGATGTTGTGGGGCAGAATGATTTCTGTCGTCGTATACAGACGACATGAGGTACCAATTTATTCTGACAAAATGATAGGAAAACACTGAGCTTTAAACAAAAGACGAACCTGAATTCTATTGTCGTGATATTTGTATTAATTACTGCCTTTATTTTACATTATCTATATATATATAAAAGAAAGTCGTGTTAGTTACACTATTTATAACTCAAGAACGGCTTTACCGATATGACTGAAAATTGGTGAGGTGAGGTAGCTTAGAGCCAGAAGACGGATATAGGATACAATTTTTTTTATTTAACTTACTAATACTATTAATGTTAAGATGGATGTGATGTGAATAGATGGATGGGTGGGCTACACTAATTAAGTTTTTTATATATCCACGCGGACACCATGAATAAGCGAGAGCAGAAGTTACTGCGATATTTTCTGTCTTATCCTTTTAGTGTCTTCTTACCCGAGTTTCTCACTTATGAAGGTCGTCTGATGAGACCGGACAGTGACTACCGCTCCATTTCCACGGTTAGGGCTGTAATTTTTTAATTTAATGTAATTTCAGGGCGTAACTCAAGAGGAATTAAAGCCAGTTTACGAAATGACGAGTGAACTCCGCGGACCGCAGAGAATTCCCCGTATCTGCGACCGACCTTTTCGAGACGTATTGAAGGAGATATGAAATTTTCTCAAATTATTTTATATGACAATCTAAGAACATTTGAGGTGATAAAAATATTGTCATATAAAATTACTGTGTGTGCTTTCATAGTGTTTAAATGCTGTGCTTGTAATCGTTGTTTAAAGTAGAATATTCGTTAGTAATATTATCAGTGTAGTAATTACTGAATTTTGCTTTTTGTAATACTATACTTTATATTATATTTCTTGCTTAATTGATATGCAATATACATCATGCGATAAGATGTTTTTATTTAAAACTATTTATGACTAAAGTATTCTTAATAATAATGTAAATGCGAAGAGCTTCGACCAACATATCAAGAAGCTCTCGCTAAGCAGTTGGATTAAGGGCCCGATACAAAAGGCAGTTATCCTAGAAACCGCGCACATCGTGACTTCTCAGCAGCCTTTCTTTTCTTTCTGTCTCTGCAGCCCTGACCACTGGTTGTTTGAGTCATGGGATTCCGCAGCCGGTGGTGTTCTATTTTTAATATAATATGATTTGTATATAATTTGTTTTTTGGATATGAAATGTACAATATTAAAAATATGATAAATACGAATATAAATGCGAATGTTTAGATGGATAGATGTTTGTTTGTAGGTATCTCCAGAACTGCTGAACGGATCTCGATGAAATTTTGTCATACAAATAAAACATATTATGGAAGAACACATAGGCTACTAATTATGTTTGTTTTTAATACCACGCGGTCGTAGTCGCGGGCGACAGCTAGTCTTAAATAAACCTTGGAAATATGTCCCTAAAATGTTCACCACAAAAACAATTGCAAGCGCAAAACAAATGCATTACTAAAGTTTACCTCTCATCTGAAGCATAGTAGTTAATAATAATTGAAGTACTGTATTTTATTAAAAGTAAATGAGCACACCTTTTGTTCGAAAAGATTTCAAAAGCGATAGATTTTTATTTGATATCCTATTTGTGGTAAATAAGAACGTGCAAGCTCTAACAAATTGTGGCAACTCACGCTATTGTGTGCACCATACTTTACTGTCGACCATCGCCAATAAAGTAAAAGTACAACTAAAGTTTTATTACAGTATATTTTATTACAGATATGTCTAAACAAATTACAAACGTATAGTAGGCAAAGATATTTTAAAAAGCTGCATACCATTTTATAAGATGTCATAGCTTGTAAATTATTAGATTTGAACAGTGGTAGAGCCCGCTTTAACATCTTCGCACGAATTGGCCAGGCTCGCCCGGTGAAATACCACGACCACACAGAAGACAGGCGTCAAGTGGAAGCAATTCCGCGTTTCGTCTGATGAGTGTGCGTTCCGGAGGCCTAATTTAGTCCTCTTTCCCTTCCCACCCTTTTTCTTATTAGGAAAGGATGGGAAGTGGAAGTGGATTTTCTGGATGAGAGGATGCATGGAAAGAGAAAATATTTTCTTTCTGTGCATCCTCTCCTCCGTCGATTAAAGGTAGGCAAAGCACATGCAATTGCGTATGTCTATGGGCAACGATCACTTCGCTATTTCAGCGATTTCAGGTGGCCGCTCCTTATGATATAAAAAAAATATTTGATTGACTAAACATATATCTTTGCAATATTCCAATACAATTTTGTTCTAAGGGTTATATCTTTTACGAGCAATATCCTTTACTATTAAATTAAGTACTCAATTGAGTTATGCTTTAGTCAACTAAAGTTGAACTATTAAAAAAAACAGATACGTTTACATACAGTTTCTCCGAACTCAGTAAAGTTTAAATAATTTAAGCAGAAGTTCTGGTAAATACATTGGTTAGCAGCAGATGTTTATACTCGAAGGTTCAATTACATGAAATTAAACAATGACGTAGTTGCATTTCTATGTGTCGTGTCCGGGATTGACAGACGGCATCAGGTGTCCGACGGAGGCAGTGATTGATTTCACATCGGACAACAACTCAACTTACACTACAAATGCATATGCATCGCTAGGATACAGGGTGTCACAAAAAAAACCACCAATGAAAAATAATTAATAAATAACTTTGGAGGTGTAAGACCACAATGGTGTTATTGTTAAATCTTCAGAAATTAAAATAGTTTTGAATTTTAATATAAGATCTCTTTGCTGTACCAAAATTTATACTACTATTACAAGTGACATGATATTCAGAATTGTAACTCAATAAGTTTTTATAAACCAACTAAATTAATTAAAACAAAGTTACTATGAATACGTTGAAGATAATAAACATATAACAATAGTAAAATTATTTATTCCTAAATGTGAAAAATGTTATATTTTTAAGATTTTTTTTGAACATCCTGTATATGAATGACAAGCATGACGGGTGCTGAGTCCGCCAAATTCGAAAGGGGTGTTCCACTTGGCTCGTTTTATATCTATTGTTTATATGAGACAAGGGACGGTTTTGATGGAATGCCTATTTTATTATCGTTCAATACGGATTTGTATAAAGGTGACGTTTATATTTCGAACTGGCAACGTTTTGATCAGCAAAAAAATAAAAAAAGCATGATTTTTTTTTTGTTTTTTTCAATTGGCATATGAATCGTTTATTAGTTTCAGCCATATGACGCCCACTGCTAGGCATAGACCTCCCCTTAAACATCGCCACGATATTCGGTCCTGTGCTACTCGCAGCCTGGATGCTTCCGCAACCTTGACCAGATCATCGGCATATCTTTCGAGAGATCTGTACGCGCTGCGTCGACCTGTCTGTGGTCATACTGTTAGGATAAGATTCAGTATAATTTGTATAGTATATTAAATCTGGCTCACGGATCAAGCACTTCAAGCAATCTGAAGGTCCTGGGTTTGAATCCCGCTATGTATCAATGTGTTTTTCAATTGCCGGTTAACATATGTACATTTATCCGTCGTTCTTACGGTGAAGGAAAACATCGTGATGCACATATCTGAGATGAAATTCAATGATATTTGTGAAGTCAACCAACCCGCACTGGGCCAGCGTGGTTGACTATGGCCTCGTCCCCTACCTATCTAGTAGGCTCTGAGCCCCTCAGTGGGGACGTATAGTTGATGATGATTAAATTTGTTTTACCTGTTTTAACCAAATTAACAAAAATATTTTAAGTCACCATTTTATAGCAACATCGTCTTATTTCCTTTCAAGTTCAGTAATTACCTTTACAACTAGTCGTATTATCTTGGAGAATTTGCAATTTAAAACATTCATAACTAAAATCTGGTGATTCAAAATCTTGAATTAAAATTAAAGTCATTAAAGCTATTTAATTGACTTTAAACTCGTAATCTTTCTCAGATTCTGACCTGAATACCTCAAAGCTGGTAAACTTTTAATAGATCCTTAACTCAATCTCATCGTGCGCTTCGCCGTGACGAAATTACGGTAAGTCTTTCTGCAATAAAATTTCACATAAAGACCATTTTATAATAGGGTCATAAAAGTGACTATCTGAGTGGGATAAGGGAGGGGCCCTTCAGGCACTTTTTCTAATTTTATGACCCGCTTTTCTCTGCCCTTACTCAAACACAATGAAAAGTAATTCGTAAGAACACCTGAGACATCGACAAACAATATGAAAACGCTAATTGGCGCGACAATAGGACGTTATTGTCAAGGATTTACAAAATTAATACAAAAGCCTTCTGTTCTATATATTACAAAGGTAGGCAATAAATAGGAAAACCTCTTTAGTATCTTACTAATATTATAAATGCGATTGTTTGGATGGATGTTTGTTAGAAGGTATCTCCGGAACGGCTGCATGAATCTCGCTGAAAGGAATAGGTGTAGATCATAGTCTGGAAGAAAAAATAGGCTACTATTTAAGTTTTTTTATACCTCACGGACGGATTAGCTGAAATTTGGAAAATATGTAGAGCATAGCCCGGAAAAACACACAGGCTTGTATATATTGTTTTACTTAATTACGCGCGGACGGAGTGGCGGGCGACCGCTAGTTCGATATTATACCATGAATTCTGTAATTTTA